TTTTTTTGAGAACTATAATTAAATTTCCTCTGAACTCATTTACTACTCTTAAGTTTCCAGAAGAGAATGACGGGACTTCTCAAATCACTGCATGTCTGGAGGGATGACAATTTATTTTTATTGTTCTAGTGTAAGGGATTAAAAAATAAGCGGGTATTTTTTTTTTTTAAATCTGTACTCTGATTAGAACTGTTTAATGTCCAAATTCTTGGTATAAACTTCAGTAAACAGTCAGTCATTCATTAAGAAGCAACTGCTGAAAGGCGATATTTAAAAGAGAAAAAATAAATAAATAAAACACGGTGTCATTAAAACCCTCCACACGTCTTTATCCAAGGCAAAAGCAGCGCCCATCTGGGTATTTAGAAGGCACCAACCACCACTGAGATCTAGATTTAATTCATGCCATAAAGAAAGCATTATATTTCATTTGTTCACCAAAGACCTAGAACCTTGTATGAATGATAGTGGGGAAGGACTCTAGTGACAATAAAAGGAGAGATTTATTTTAGAATTACTTAAATATATGATCAATCACAAACCCAAACAACTTAATGCTCTCACATTCTACCTCTAAAAAATGTTGTGAAGATTATTTTCAGCTTTAATTTCTTCTTTGAAAATCTTGCAAAATCAGTTACTTTTAAAGCCCTGACACTTTTCAGTTAGAAGGGCCAAGGTGGAGAGATGCTGTTTCTAGAGGACCAGGGACTCAGATCTGAGGACTCGGATGCTGAATATGTCACTTGAGCTGGAGGGCACAGCCTCTGCTTCCTGGGAAAGCATATATGCTCCCCCAATCTTTGAGTGGCAGGAATCAAAATGTCTGTGCTGACAAAATGTCTGAGACAGGCATACCTGTCAATTGAGTGTCCATACTCAGAAGGTAAGGCTGAGTTAGCCCACCTGCTGCCCAGAACTCAACAGAGCTGTTTTCCCCTACATTCTCCAGCCTCCCACCTCTGAAGTCTTATATGAACAATTGACTAAACCCCTATTTTCAGTCTCAGACCACTGCCAGGATTCTCCCATGAGTCCTTCAGGAACAGATCACCACTGTCAGCACTGCAGAAACAAGTTTTCTCAGGTCCCCAGCTCCTCTTCTGAAGATGGCATCAAATAAAATACACCTTTTGCTCTAATTTGTGAAGAAAGTTTTTTTTTTTTTTTCGTTTTTGTTTTTTTTTTTAAGATTTGTCTGTTTCACACTCAAAGGCATTGTCTAATCCTGTAGTGCACACATGAGGAATTGGTCCCTTGAGTGTGTTAGAAGAAACACTCTTATCTACCTGCCTTCCTG